ATTTGCCAATTGGATGCTTGCGGGAATCACCTGATCCGTCAGCTGACTGTGTTTACGATTAGCTGTGATCAGCTGATGTAGCTGGAATTTAGAGATGAGCTTGACTTTGTGGCCTGCCTGAACTGAACGCTATGCTGAATTCGTCAAACTGTATATTATGATTTGTCATGTGTCATCTTGGCTGTTGTTTCTTTAGTGTCCTCTAAGTCCATATGGGCTAGGCAATATAGAATGATGCAGGGCATTTAAATAAATAAAAACAATCAATCAATTAATGCTCAGACATTGTATAGTTATATTTTTACAGTATAAAGAACAAACAGCCACAGCCTTGCTAATGGATGGTAGTGCTCATAGTACATACTTTGACTCCAACAGGTTTTTGACATTCCTGATCCCTCTTCAAATCAATCAAAGTATTTTGACAAGTATCTTCTTGTACTTCTCTAGTACTGCCATCCATTTGTTTAATTGTAATCAGACCCAGTGCCTAGTATAAGGGTGGCTATGATTAAACAAAAAAGTTTGTTAAATTATATGTCATGGTATCTTCGATACAGTGTCATGATAAATATTTTGAATGCCATTTACAATGACAACGCTAACACGCTGATTCAAAGCAGGTCAAATGTTGTGCCCCTGTTCACCATCTTGGTTTACCCTTGTTAGCATGCTAATATTATATATATTATATAATAATGTAATTGGTTTTGCAGGGATTTGGTCATAAACCAAAGTATTTGACAAATTGACATTTTGGGCTGATGGTGGCACTAGATGAAAAGTTAGGGTATTACCAGTGTTATTACAGTTCATCCTGTGGGGGGGCATGGATGTCTGTACTAAATGTCTCTGCAGTCTATTCAATAGTTGTCACGACATGCTGAATAGTACTCTCTATGACAAGTAAAGTGATTTATGCCCCTTTTACATATTCATCTGCACTAGCCGGGATTCCATCCATATTTTGATGCAAATTTGAATTACTTGAAATTTGGTTAAAATGTGCAGTACATTTGGATGGAAACGGCTACAGTTTAGGATTTTCAGTGTTGATGCCCTCTCCTAGTCTGGAAATATAACCACTGCTTCAAAGCCAAGAATCTGCTCACTAACCTTAAATACATGTTTGTTTTGCAGGTCTTCGTCTCGCTCTTCATCCTACACAGGCTCTGGGTCATCTCGTTCCCGCAGCCGCTCTTCCTCATTCAGCTCCTACTCCAGCCACTCCTCCCAGCGCAGCTCCTTCAGTGGCAGTCGTTCTAGGTACAAAAGAGTGTAAAGTGTGTCTGTGTGTATCACTGTGTGTAAGGGCAGTAGGTGAGTAAACGCTTAGAGGAATAGTTTGACAGTTTGGAATATCTTCTTATCTGCTATCTTGCCAAGAGTTGGATTAGAAGATCAGGATGACTCTTACATTTGTCCGTTAAATATGAACCAGAGCTAGGAGAACCTTAGCTTGTCATAAAGACAGGAAGCAGGGGGAAACAGCTAGCTTGGCTCTGTCCAAGGTTTAAAGAACCCAGCACCTCTAGATTTTACTAATTAAATCTTGTTTGTTTTAATCCACACTCAAACAACAATAAAAGTTTAAAAAAAAAAAAAAAGTTTTAAAGGGGGCCAAATTTCTCAGCATTAAGTCATTAAACTGTACTGTAAATTAACAAATTGGTGGTCGGGCCCCTTGGCTACCCCTGCTGCAGAGAGAAACTTAATTCTACCTTTATATTTTCTACCACATTTTAGTAAGGAGCCTTCCTGTTTTCTGATCTGTTCTGTGTTCATTTGTCTTGACAAATTCACTGTAACTTACATTTCTACGGCACCAATTCCATATGACAATATAACCATGTCATACTCACCAGGGTTTTACTTAGGTGGATTTTTGAAGGTTTTGACTTGAAATTATGCAATTTCACATCATTTTGCACCATTACTATAGGTAACAGCAAAAAAGCTTAAAGACAAAACCTTCAATAGTTGAATAATTATTTAATTATATTTATTTACAAATAAAAAAGTTATGACAGTCACAAATTATTTTACAAAAAGGAGCTTGTTGTTGACACTTGAGTATAAATGACATCATGCAGCGTTTTAAAACGGTTGTATACTTGTGTGATGTGATCTGATTTGGAATTAAAGCTGCATAATAACACTTTTATGGCAACTTCACTATTGATTTACAGGTCTCGATCCTTCTCCACATCTCCCTCACCGAGTCCAGCAGCACCCAGGAATGCTAAGAACAAACCAGACCTTCCACCTGTGTTAGCTAAAGGGTAACTCTTGCCCATTTAACACATAGTCAGCCATACTTATATAAGTATATATAAATGATCTGCGTCTTGTTTCTCCTTAGATACATATTCTCATCATGCCTGTTTAATGATTATTATTTATCAATAATTAGCTAGAACATCACATGTGCTCTGTTGGCATGCTAGTTGTTAGCACATGCCTGCCCATCACAGTCTGCATGCTTGAAAAAAGTGCCTTTTCCCTCCCTAAGAATGCCGCTGAAGCCGGGTGCCATGCCCCCTCCTCGCAGGGACAAGCCTCCCATGAAGAAAGCTCCCAGTCCTCCCCCACCTAGTGGACCGCAGGGAAGGCCTTCCAAACCTCTGCCTGAGGGAGGGAAGCCTCCCACTAATCCCAGAGAGCCTGGAGGCGCAGGTGGAGGGCCAGGCAGCGGAGGAGGAGCGGGTAGACCCCTGCCACCACGGGAACCTGGGAAACCTCCCAACCCCAGGGAAGATAGGCGGAAAGAACGACAGCAGCGTCCTCCTCGGAGGTAGGCGTCTCACCTTGAAGGTCTTGGTTTGTTTTGAGGCAATGGCACAAGTCCTGTTAAACAAAAAGATAATGTATTGATACATTTCGCATTGTCTGCTATGGGTTTAGATTTAACTGAAAACTGCTGGATTGCATAACATCGCAAAAGGATCTGATTTATGGCAGGAATCAGGAAAAGAAAAAGATCTTTTCCAGTTAATCTTTTTAAACTTAAGCCTTAAGTTATTGTTAGCCTACCTGGTCAAAATGACAATCTGGCGTGACCTGTTACTTGACACAGCACCTGCTTTGGGCATTAAACATCTGGGACATTGTCTGTATTTTTAGTTGACATGCATCACACATTTGATAGGAAACCAGTTAAAAGAGGCTCAGGCAGCTTCTGTTGGCAGCTGACTCTCCAATAACTTAGTTAAGTAATAGAATTAGGTTTAAGATCAGATGAAGCACCGTCCTATCACCATAAACAGCTTCACACTTTAATCAAAGTCAATGAGAAACACATGAGAAGTGAGATAAATGTGCTCAAATCATCACATCAATATTTTTAAGTGTACCTACAGCTAAGGTTGTCAAAAGTAGGGCTGCACGATATGGTAAAAACATCATATTGCAATTATTTTGACAGATAGGGCAGGAATGATCATTTTTGCATCACAAATCTCACAAAAAAAACATTAAATCATGATGATGTGACATTTGTTGGGCTCTCTACCAAACAAACATGTTTTCTTACATCTGGAGAATTAGATTTGTACGCCAGGGCATCTCTGCAGCACTACATTATACCAACTACATACTCCATATAATGCATTTTTTTAACACATTTTGTGTGCGATTTTGATAATAATGTGATTAATTGTGCAGCCATAGTCAAAAGTATCAGTACTTAGTTAGTTCTTGCATACCACGTGTTTAAAATAATACGATCTCCATCAATTTTACATTCAATAGTATAGTACTTCATGAAAGTCAACAGTCCAGACACAAACAGGCAGACAGAGAAAAGGGCGGGGCGAAGCATACCAGTGTGTGTGTGCAGAAAGAGACAGAGGTGTGGGTGTGTGCGTGTGAAAGTGTGGAAAAGCAAGTTGAGCGAAATAAAGTAGCCTGAGTAAACACTGAAAATATAAATAACCAAGTGGAAATAACAACAGAAAACACTGCAACTGATCCTCAATATGTCTCCTTTGCCTTTTTTTGTACTATCACTGTTTGTCCTGGTGTCAAAAGAGGTAATGAGTATCTTTTTTTTATACTAGTACCATAAAATCTTCCCTGTCATAACAGGAAAAGTACATGTAATAAAATTACTGATGGCTCCATTCTATTTTAAGTATCCCAGGAAGTATTCATTTTGTTTAATGGGGCAACAGAGTCTCAAAGTATTTAGCCAAAATACAACCTACTGTATGTATGTGTATGTACACATGCATACATTAAACCCAAAATATGTGAATACAAATTCCAGCCTGGATAAAAGGGTGGAAGCAACAGGACTGTGGTTGGACCGTTCATAAATTTAAATTTAACTTTTCACAGAAAATCTTGATACTCTTAGGTACAAGCTATCTCACCAGTAGAGCTGTTTTTGTTTCTATAAGCAGATTTAGCATTTTTCATGCTGTCCTTGCAGATCTGTGTGTACTGTATATACACCTACACCACACCAAACACTGTCTATCCAAGTTATCACTAAAAAAATGCTTTATCACAAAATCTAATTGTGGCAGATGTTTTTTTGATATACCTAGGACGAGGTGTTAAACGGTTCCAGTGAGTTTACTGGAAATGGATGCCACTCAACTCTTTTTGAACTGCTGCAGTTTAGTGGTGGAGGTATTAATTGTGTTGTTATTATATGCAGGGTATTCTTTGTGTCTTGTTACACTAAATTGAAAACCTGGTTAACACTTCTTACACTGTCATGTGATCACAGCCTGGGCTCACAGGAGAAACGTTTGAGCGCTCTGCTATTAGTTTCAGGCATGTTAGTGAGAGAATGCTGGCCTGCCAGCATGTTTACTAGGCTTGCGCTTGTGCAAGGAAGACAGTGGATGACATTGTCAAACGGATACCTGTGCAATAAACAGAACTGTGTTTCCTTACACATCTGCATTTGCATATTTGTGTGGGACATCAGTGATACTGCAGGTGTATCCCACAGCTGTGTATTGGGGGGGAAGACCATAGAGAATGTGTGGGTTGATGGCTAGAGGAAAAACTGGATCTTTATACATATTATGTTTGTGTGGGTGACAGAGAAACATCAGCCAGAGAGGAAGAACAGCTAAAGGGCAGGGAAGAACAGTAAGGGTGTGTGTGTGTTCATCTGTGTGTGGGTGCGAGTGTGGGCAGAATGGGTCGCACCGTGGAAACTATCCAGGAAAACCTGTTTGTTACTCTGTTCATAAACTACTTCCCTCTGATTAGCAGATATGATATAGGTTAGTGATACTAGGTGGGCAGTGTTTTCTTAGCCTCATGTCATCTGAAATGACACTCATTTTTACAGATGCACAGGACAGGACACACATGACCACTCAAGAGGGAAATGACCGTGGCCTGGTCCAACCATGCTGATTATATAATCTATTAAGTCTGTAAAAGATGTATGCACACCTACTCTGCCATGTGCAATACAAATAAAATGCCACTCAGGCTTAGTTGTTACATTCACACAGTCTTGAGAATAGACATAATCAGCCAAAGTAATGTGTGGGTAAAAGGGCGAGCACAGGCCTTATTATACAAACCAGTTTGTAGTAGAGATGTTCCGATACCATTTTTTCCCTCCCGATACAGATTCCAATACTTGTGCTGTGGGTATCATCCGATACCGAGTACCGATCCGATACCAGTATGTTATAAAAAAAATATCATACTACGCCTGCATGACTGTGATATGATTATCATTGTGGTAAGGCCTGGCTCAGGTTAGTGGGATGTTCTGGTTTTGGGTTACGCTGTAGTTATGGTAACTATCAACTACTGCCGTGACACGGAGCTTGTCTGGAGTAGATGTATCTTGACGAGGCGCTAGTTTTTATCGAATTCTATTACTGTATTATTTATATTCTGAGACCAGTCTTCGTACGAGCTGTCTGCTGGATGACGCTGATTGGACACTGAATTTGACCGCTGCTCACGCTCAGCGAATTCTGTTGCAGGGAAACATGGGTCGGGACCGTTTAGCTGGTTTAGCATTGTCAGGACTTTGAGCGTTTTTTGTTATCTATGGTTTGGGTTTCTCGATATTTTTGCTTTTGTTAAATCAAGGCCAACGCGAACTATATCCACTATGTGAGCTATATTTTATGTAGTAACAAAAAAAAAATGACTATGTACTTTCACAATGATAAATATAATTAACTAAAAATCATAAAACACCTTGGGTAAACATGTAGCTAATCTCGTACTAACACAACCAAAGGAGCGGAGAGTCACCAAAAGAACGGAACAATCAAAACAACGACTGAAGCAATTGAGAAAGAGGAATAACACAGAATATTTATAAAATCAAAAAATATAATATGATATAGCTCTTGTTAATCGCACAGCTGGAGGACGCCTTTAGTGGTATACTATTCTCCATGCCATCACACCTAATGTTTTTAAAAATACCTTATATTATGTAAAAATATTTAAGATCCTTTACGATTGGAGGATGAAATGCAACAGAAGAGAACTAAAAGATAATAACTCTCGTTTATGAAGAGGGTTACAAGAACAGTCTTCTGTCGAAACCCATTTGAGATTGGAATTGTGGAGTCCAATTTGGCAGTTCCAAAAAATGGTAAATGACGACAACTCTTCATATTATCATCCGCGTCATGGCATGTAATGTTGACTTAATTTATGATTAACATAAGCGTGCCATTTCTGCTTCATGTTCATATTCTTTAAATGGTGTGGTATATAATGTGAAAGCTTTATTTCATAAATAAGGCCTCCAAAACACCCATATTATGGTGTCAACATTTCTTTAAAAGGTGCAAAGCTTCCTCCCGGCGCGCGTATGAACACACGTTCTGAATAGGGTGTGCCTTACGCGGCGGGCATATTTTGGTTAAGCTGATTTGGCGAGTACCTGGGATTTTCTGGATCCAAAGCCTTACTTGTGAGCGGACACGAGAGTTATGATGGATGAAGATCTCGGATCTGGATCTTAGATAAGGTAAACCAGCATAAATACTTGCCAACCACTTACCATCTGAGATACCCACTCACAGTCGCGCTGAAAGAGACAGACAAAAGCGACTGAAACAACAGCAGGTAGTTTTTTCTATAAAAGCGTACTACCCAGCTCCTTGTTCAGTTATTTAATCACACAGAGCACGACATAAAGGGTAGTTGTATTATTCCCTACTGTAATCTGTTTACATTAACAGAAATACTACAGACACTCCACTCCCACCGTTGGCTCCCCGTTCTGCGTGTTATCTGAAGAAAGCTAGTTCTCAGGGGGCCTGGAGAGGCCATATTTTACAGAGACATTTGGGGGGCATAACTAGGAGAAGAGCGGCAGCGCACGGGATTTTAATATCTATATCGAAAACAATATATGAGACTAATTACGCTGGGTATCCAGGTAAAGGTTTATGAAAAGCAGGCACAGCATGTTACAATTTTAAAGAAGATTCTGAGACGCGATTAGCAGAGGGAGGGAAATAAGAAATTCGTAGTTTTTATAATGTGGTTTTTCTTGGCAAATTTCAAAATTGTCCTCTTTTACAGGTTCCCATATAAACAATCTTCTTATGCTTGATTATCTGGATAAAATTTCGTCAACTATAACACTGATAAACTTTAGCAAGCCATAAAAAACTAACTGCATTCATTTTATTTTGATAATATACCACGGAAGAACAAAGAATTACTAGATTACATAAATTCTTAAGCAGACCTTGAGTGCTCCAGGTTCATTCAAAACACGAAACCTATTGCAAAAAATGCCTACCTTTCTGTGGACATTTCTTCGATTCTTCCAAGATTTTTCTTCTTTGGAGTGGGCTAACACTCGGGGAATATGTTATCTACCATCTCATATTAAAGAAGAGCATGTCAGGTAATTCACGCTGCAAAACAATTATTGTGTAGAAAGCTGCAACTAGTTAGTAATTTCGGTGGACAGTAAGGGCTCACATTAGTCTTCAGCGGTAACACATAAAACACACTAATGTCAACCTGGCCTTTTCTGATACTAAGTATTATCTGTCCGCAGCCTTGCTATAAGAAACACTATTGAAAAAACTATAAAAGGACAATAGTACAAATCCATTCCTCAGGTGTTGTAACCTCCCGTTACCACACAAAAACTTAGATTTTCCGATTCGATACCAGTGATCGGAAATGCTCTTGATGACTGCCGAAAATGCTGGCATCGGTACTCGAGCGCAGTATTATGAGTCCAGCAACCGCATCCGCTAGGCACGCTCAAGGATACCAGTATAATGCATTTACTGAGGGGTCTTCTTGCGCGCGCCGGGTGGGAGAGGGGTACCGTAAATAGATACTAAATTGTAATAAATGAGTCCTCCGGATCGGGAGGGCGTCTGGGCTTCCTCGAAACTCGCCCGTTATCCGAATGCCAGC